TCTGATAGTGATTATACACAAGGCTATGTAACAGATAAACACATGAGACGGTGTTTGACAATTGAAGCCATTCCATTTTCTATTTCTTTGTAGCAAATAGTTCTTGAGATGGGCAAGATACCCTTGTGTTTTTAGCATCTGTTTATATTTTTTTGTTCTTGTGCGTATTACTTACGCAAAATACACCCTGGTTATCAGTGACCTATCCTTGAGTAAACACTGTGGCTAAAAGAAACACACACACACAAAGTTTTTCACTTCAGCTTGACTTTTCTTTAAACACGTAAGTAACTACTGCTCAATGATCATTCCAATTTGTCTTTTCCTTTTTTTCCTTCATTTTGGTTAGGTAGTTGGGGGTCCAGTCCTACCTTTGCCATTAAGATTTGTGCAATTTTAGGCAAGCTACTTTGTCTTAATGAGACTATACTTTTGGTAGAGTTACAGACAGAGGAAGGGAGAGGCAGAGAGAAAGTTCTTCCATCTGCTGGTTCACTTCCCAAAGGGCAGAAACAGATGGAAGTGGGCGGATCCAAAGCCAAGATCCAGGAGTTTCTTCCAGGCCTCCCATGCGGGTGTAGGGGCCCAAGTACTTGGGACATCTGCTTTCTCAGGCCATAGCAGAGAGCTGAATCGGAAGAGGAACAGTGGGGAGTAGACCTGGCACCCATACTAGGTGCTGGCACTGCAGGTGGAGGCTTAGCCCATTATGCCACAGCACTGGCCCCTGTATTTTTTTTTTTCTTTTTTGACAGGCAGAGTTAGTGAGAGAGACAGACAGAAAGGTCTTCCTTTTTCCGTTGGTTCACCCCCCAAGTGGCTGCTTCGGCCAGCGCATTGCACTGATCTGAAGCCAGGAGCCAGGTGCTTCCTCCTGGTCTCCCATGAGGGTGCAGGGCCCAAGGACCTGGGCCATCCTCCACTGTACTCCAGGGCCACAGCAGAGAGCTGGCCTGGAAGAGGAGCAACCAGGACAGAATCCGATGCCCCGACTGGGACTAGAACCCAGGGTACCGGCGCCACAGGTGGAGGATTAGCCTAGTGGGCCGTGGCGCTGGCTCCCTGTACTTTTGATTTTATTTTTAGTGAATTCGCCTGATCTAAGGGCCAAGAATGGGATTTTGGTACGTTTTAAAGACTCTTTCCATTATACCAAAGCTGCTTTTTCCGTAAGTACAGAATGTTTTATAACTTTAAAACAGACATCCAAAACAGGTAATTCTTTAATCCCTTAGGCTGAAAGTTACTGCAAATGATATATAATTTTAAGAAGGAAGCACAATAATCAATACCTAAAAACCTCATTTAATATATTAAAAAAAAGTTTGCCCTCCTTAAATCTAATAAATTTAAATCTAAACATGAGTTTAATATGAAACCACATTTGAAAAGGCTGCCAGACATTTCAGCACTAGAATATTAACTACCACAGAGAGGAAAAAAATGAGGACACACACTAAATATGTATAATCAGATTACTTCAAAAAGTTCATGTGCAATGTATATTATTACAAAAACTATGCTTGGATTTCAGAATCTTTCTGCACCAAATTATTTTATTAGCCTATCTTTCTATGGACACTTTGAAGTACTCTTGTATAAAATCATAGAATCTTGAAGTCAGAATGGCTTCTAAAAGTCATTTAGATTAGTAGGCCTCAGTGTGGAATTTCATGGGTTTACAAAGGTTTTATAAAAGCAACAAAGGCAGATCACACACGGAAGTGTCAGCTTTTTAATTTGACAAATAAGGATATTTAAAAAACCACAGGGGTGGGACTGGCCTTGTGGCAAAGCAGGTTAAGCTGGCACCTGCAACATCACTGGCATCCCATATGGGAGTGCTGGTTCATGTCCTGGCTATTCCATTTCCAATCTCTGCTAATGTGCTGGGGAAGGCAGGAGATGATGACTCAAGTGCTTAGGTCCCTGCCATCCACGTGGAAGAACCAGATGGCATTTTGGGCTCCTGGTTTTGGCCTAGCCCAGCCCTGGCTGTTGTGGGTATCCGGAGAGTGAACCAGCGGATGGAAGAGCTCTGTCGCTCTCTCTGAGTCTTTCTCTGCCTTTTACTCTTTAAATCTTTTTAAAAAAATTATAAGTAATCAATCTTTAAAAAAAAAAAAAACTCAGGGATAAGTGTTTGGCATGGAGGTTAAGAAGCCACTTGGGATGCCTACATCCCATAATCAGAGTGCCCAGGTTTGAGTCTGGGCCCTGCTTCTGATCCTAGCTTCCCATTGATGCATACTAGGAAGGCAGCAGGTAATAGTTCATGTATTTGGGGCCATTTTCCACTGCCTTCCCAGTCTCCTTAGCTGGGACTTGAACTAGCACATGTTCTAGCTGCACCATAACACTACCCCTATACAAGGGTATTCTACTGGGAATTACTAGTCTGCTCCATGTGCATCCTCTGTCCTCTGTCCCCCAACTGCAAATTGAGCATTTGTATTACTATACCAAAAAAAAAAAAAAAAAAAGAAAGTAAGAAAAAAAAGTTCATACCCCACCCCCTAATGGGGAACTACTGAATGTGAAGAGCCCATTAAATGTTGGATGGCTATGACAGAAAATCAGCAGAATAGTAATTATCCTTGGAACCTTCAAGATAATTAAACTTTGCTTTAAAGCAATTTTTTAGGGCAGAATCTAACAGTACAAGATTTTAAGTGGGCAACAGCATGCTTCAGGTTCACCAAAAGAGCATTACTAATGCCGCTGATTTGAAGTCAGGCACTCTGGGTTTTGGTCCTGCCTTAAAACTGCATACTAGGGGGCTGGCGCTGTGGTGCGACTGCTCCACTTCTGACCCAGCTCTCTGCCATGGCCTGGGAAGGCAGAAGGTGGCTCAAGTCCTTGGGCCACTGCTTTTGGCACAGAGTTTCAAATGCTGCTGCTTGAGATCCCTCTATCCCATACTGGATGGCCTGAATTCAACTCCCCATTCATTAAAAAAAAAAAAAAAAAAAAAAAAAGATTTGTTTTAGGGGCTGGCACTGTGGTGTAGTGGGTAAAGCCACTGCCTGCAGTGCCGGCATCCCATATGGGCACCGGTTCAAGTCTTGGCTGCTCCACTTCAGATACAGCTCTGTGCCATGGCCTGGGAAAGCAGTACAAGATGGCCCAAGTCCTCGTGCCCCTGCACCCACATGGGAAGACCCAGAGGAAGCTCCTGGCTCTCAGCTTTGGATCGGCACATCTCCGGATATTGTGGCCAATTGAGGAGTGAACCAGCGGATGGAAGACCTCTCTGTCCCTCTGCCTATCCTTCTCTTCCTCTCTGTAACTCTGGCTTCCAAATAAATAAATAAGTAAATCTCTTAAAAAATATTTTTTTAAATTTATTTGCAGGCAGAGTTACACACAGAGAGAGGAAGAGACAGAGAAAGGATTTTCCATCCACTGGTTTACTCTCCAGATGGTGGCAATGGCTAGGGATGCGCCAGACCAAAGTCAGGAGCCAGGAGCTTCTTCTGGGTCTCCCATGTGGGCGCAGGGCCCAGGCACTTGGGCTGTCTTCAGCTGCTTTCCCAGGTACATTAGCAGGGAGCTAGATCACAAGTGGAGCAACCAGGACTCAAACCCTGGGCCCCCTATACTATGTCATGTTGGCATTGCACTCCAAAGCTTTACCCTCTACATCCCAACGCCATCCCCAACCCTAATGCCCGCCCTGCCCCTGCCCAGATTCACTTCTGATCCACCTTCCTGCTAGTGTGCATCCTGGGGGGCAGCAGGTGACAGCTCAAGTACTTTGGTACCTACCACTCGCGTGGGACTACCTGCTCCTGGTTTCAGTCTGATCCAGCCCTGGCTGTTGCTTGCATTTAGGGAGTGAACCAACAGGATGGAAAATCTTGATATCTGTTATTCTCCTTTCAAATAAGTTATAAATAAATAAACTTTTATATAAAAATTAAAAATACACTTTTAGAACTCAGGGGTTTCAGTCAGATAATAGCATCAGCCATGGGCTCTCTTGTGAGCATTATCACACTCAACCTTCCCAGATCAAATTTCTTAAATCCCAAAGAGGTCAAGACCTGCCTCTGATGAATTTCTAGTTAAAAAATAAAAACCATCTAAGACTGCAACCGTTGTCTATCTTAACTTGTAAGTTATTTCTACCCTTTTTATTTGGGGTCAGTCCAAGCCTTCAACATGACAGACTGGCTCCTTCGTTTTTTTTTTTTCCTTTTGGTGAAAGGCAACAATACCAACTTGTACTATGTGCAGTGTTTTACGCTGTTGCAAGCTTTATTTCTGTTGATTTTATTTATCACTAATACTCAGCATGAAGCAGGTATTGGGTCTTACTCCTGAAAATTAAGTGTCCGTGGGGAAACACGAAAAAAACGGCGGGGAAAGTAATTTCTACTTCTCCCTTCCCCCTCCTGTACAGAGAGGGTCTAACACTCCGCTGAGCGAATTCCAATTAGTAGGAGGATCTGGCCCGGCTCTGCTAAACCAGGAGCCTTGACCAAGTCTCCCAAACGCAGCCCTCCTGGGGTGCCTTCCTCTTCCCCTCCACCAGAGGCGACAGCCTCTTTCCCAACACAAACTGGGCTGGAAAAGGCCGGTCCCGGGGAGTAGTCTGAAGAAAAGATGAAAGGTTAACAGCCCCCTCAAACAAAGAGCAAAAGTCAGTGCTCAGCCCCAAAGGAGGCCTGAACCGTCCATCTGCCACGAAAATCGAAGGCGACGCCTCCCATGGTCTCAAGCCCCGGGCCGCGTTGCCTCACCGACACCGGGCAGTCTCGGAAGTACCTAAACCGCAACAAGAGCGGACTTGCCGACGGCCGGAAGTGGAAGTGAGCCCGAGGGCGGGGGGGGGCGGGGAGAGGGCAGGCCATGACACGCCTGCGCAGTCGGCAGGCGTCGCAGCGCTCATGCGCAGCTGGGAGGGGACGGAGTGACGCTCGCAGCGTGGGCCTAGACTCTCACGGATCCGGTTCCGCCCTCTCTCTCGCTGCCGACCCTTTGGGGCTAGCGCCTGAGATCCCTTTCCCAGAGTGCTCTGCGCTGTGAAGAAGCGGCTCCCGGGGACTGGGGGCATTTTGTGTTGGCTGAAGCCGGAGTAACAAGATGGCGGCGTCGGCGGAGTGACAGGGGTCCCTTCGGCCCGGAGCCGGCGGCACTGGTCGCAGCGGTATCGCCAGCCTAATTTCACCGCGCCTCTTTTCCAGCCAGCGACGTCGCCGCGAAAGCGAGGCAGCGGCAGCCGCCCAGAAACAAGTGGCCCAGCCTCGTAACCGCGAGAACTGCCTCACAATCGGCGGCCTGGCAGAAAGAAACCTGACTGAGCGGCGGTGATCGGGTCCCCGTTGGCCGATTCTGGGCCCTATAACGCCGGGAAAAGCCTCCGTTTCCGCTTCCTGCCGCCCTCCTCCGCAGCCTTGCCCCGTGGACGAGCCTCCGAGGCCTCCGTCGTCCCCTCTGAGGTGTCGGGGCTTTGCCCCAGCCTCCATCTTCGTTTCTCAGGATGGCGAGCAGCAGCGGCTCCAAGGCCGAATTCATTGTCGGAGGGAAATACAAACTGGTACGGAAGATCGGGTCTGGCTCCTTCGGGGACATTTATCTGGCCATCAACATCACCAACGGCGAGGTAATCTCTCGGGGTGGGGTTCGCGGTAGCGCTGCGCCTTGGCTCGCCCCCTCCTCAACCCCAAAAGTGCCCGGCCTCTTCCCCCACTCGCTCGCCCGCCCGCACGCACGCACTGGGGAGTCCGGAGGGAGCCAGTTTTCCTGGCTTAGGAGCCTCCCCCGCTCTCTTGCCCTAAAAGGAAAAGAACCCGATGGAAACGTTGAGTGAACCATTAAGTTTCCCAGCTTGTTAAAAATGTCCCCGGGTCGAACTTTTTTTTTTTTCTTTTTTCCGGAAACCATCATTTAAGATGGGAACGACAGAATCCTAGTCTTGTGGTCCCCATGTTTTTCTAAATACTTTTCATATTCTACAGGGTTCTTGGGCCCCTTAGGGCCGCTTCCTGTCTCCTGGTTCCTCCCGAATCTTTGCTCATGTCCCGAGGTTGCTTCTTTTTCTTGCCTGTGTCATTTTCCTGCACTTTAGAAGATGTGCGGGTTTCGTCACTACCCCCTGAAGAGGCCTTTGAGGCCGGTCGCCTCCCTTTGTAATTGCAGAGAGAGCTTTCTCTTGCCAGCCTTTCACTTCCTCCTCGTCGTCGCGACTTGGAGCCTTGCTAATGCCCCCTCTCCTTTCCCAAGTGACATTGACTTCACGGGGATGTTGATGCCATCGTCCCGTCTTTCCCCTGCAGGAAGTGGCAGTGAAGCTAGAGTCGCAGAAGGCCAGGCATCCCCAGTTGCTGTACGAGAGCAAACTCTATAAGATTCTTCAAGGTGGGGTTGGCATCCCCCACATACGGTAAGAACCCTTTAGCACCTCGGCGATCCGCTGAGGGAAGTCGGAAGAGGGAAGTGGGAAGAGGCAGGTAAAGGGACTAGGAAATCCGGGTCTTGGTGTTCGAGTACCTGGGGTCCCTATAGCCGGTGGTTTCCTGTGACCCGTGTCACCTCAATCACAGTAAATTTTAGTTTGCCAGCTTAGTTTAAAATGCCAGTTGCTTGCCCTCAGCTCGGTTTAGCGTCCGTCGTTCCCCCTCTGTGGGGCCTTCTGGTGTGCAGCGAGGTATGCGGTCGCCTTTGATCCCTCCGCTGAAGGGTTGGCGGCTGCTCGCGTTACGGCGGCACCTCTGATGTCCTTAGGTTTGGCCAGCGGAGTGTATTTGAAGGTGCTGAAGTGACCCAGCTCGGCCAGTTCGGGTTGCTATTGGAGCTGGCTTGGGAAATGGCTGCTCTTTTGTTGTGTTTTTGTTCCAACATGTCTTCCTCCTCCGCTTAGAAAATGGCGGAACGACATGACTCAACCCCATATTCCTGCCCTTTTCTCAGCTTGAGTTCACAAGTCATGCTTCTTTGATTCCCCTTTAGCAGCCCTGAGTGGATTAACCCCTTGAAAAGCCAAGAATAAAGCTACAGGAGGCGATGGGGTTCAAGGAATGAGATGGCATAATGACGGTGTGTGTGCTATCTGCAGCAGATGCGGCACCAAATTGTTAAAATTACACTTTGTAAAATCTTTTGTATTTCTCTTAAAGGTGCCAGTTATTGTTTCCTTCCTTGAATGTTAATCTTTGGTACATTTTAGTCTGTATTAAATTTTTATGGGTAATAGCAAAGGCAATTTGAGCTGCACCAACTATGTTGAAGTTTGCTCCACTCTAATCAGTTGTATTAAGGAAGCTTAATCACTAATCACTTAACCACGGTTTGATAAGTAATTTTGACCTGTTGAGTAGTTTTGTCAGTAAAACTTCACATCAGGGGAATCATGGACTTCCGCAGGATGGCTTATGTGAATACAAATAGAAATGGTAATCAGAATAAATGATGACCAGATGAAAATGACATTGTATTCTCTTTAATGATTAACATAACAAACTATAGTTTAATCCCAATCGGTTTATTAGTAGCACTCCGAAATATTTGCAAAACGATCCAGAACAGTTGAAAATTAAATGAAATATTTACTGTGACAGTTTTTATTCAAATCGTGAACCAAGAGCAGGATTATGTTAGTTCTGATGTGGAAGCTACCAAAATAACAACTGTTTTTGTTTTTTGATTTTTTTGTGTGTGTGTGTAACAACTGTTTTTGAAAATAATTGTAATGCAGTCAGATACTTCTAGTGGTGAAATAGAGTGGTAAAATGTACTGTTGTTTATAAGTGGTGTAGTAGTTATTTGGAAAAAGTCTCGCATTTATGAGGCAAAGATGAATGTGAAATTTGAAATGATCCAGATTTGATATTTTTAAATGATTATAATCCCTTGGGAGAAGCTGGGAAAATAAGATCCCTAGGCCTTACTAGTTTGCTTTCCCCATCACTAGTTTTTCCTAGAATTTCATATATATGGAATCATACACTATGAGGTCATTTGTGCCTGTCACCTTTCACTTAGCATAATACTTTTGAGATTCAACCATGTTGAGAGATTTTATAAATTTTGCAAAAACAGATTGCATCTAAAGTATTTGAAATAATTTCCAAAAAGCATTTAAGAATGGCACTGATAGAGGCCAATGAGGACAATGGGTAATATACCGAATAGGCACATAAATAAATGAAGTTAACTTGTGAGAAGAATAACAGTTGCCTATTATGAGATGGTGAGTGCAGAGTTAATGGTAGTTTTAAGATTTATGTGGGTGGAGCTGAAGAGATGAACCGGGCTTTCAAATTAAGGCTTCCTGGGAGTGAAGATGGGGGATTTCAGGGTCTGGCTCCGAGAAGAAAGCTTGGTGAACTACTGTGGAGGGTGACTGCAGTCTTTAAGCAGCTTGTAGTAGTGAGGGGCAAGGGTGTGGGTAAATCTGTGTTAGTAATGATAGGATCAGGTACACAGAGACAAAGGTGGTTTATTTGTTTTAAGGTGGACTATGACAGGTTTCTCCACTAAAGTAGAAAGGTTAAAATTTACATAAACCTTCTCTGGGTAGCAGTATTGTTCAGTCCTCCAAGTTTAATTCCCCACTAATTCTGTATCACCTGTACACAAGATACTTGGTAAATATTAAGTTGACTGGGTAGTTTTAGCCAGATTAAATAAGGCATTGTTGTAGAAGTATTGACATTAATTTTTTTAAAATTTGGATTTTTGCCACATTTTTTCACAGTATGCACGCTTCCTCTCCACCCCTCTATCCCTCATATTTTTTGTTTATGGGATTTTTTTTTAAGATCCCTTGAGATATCCTAAAATAAGTGCTGAAAATTACTTGGCCTACAAAGCTGCCCTTCCTAATATATAGTCTTTTATGTATAATTTGAGAGATCTGTTGTTCAGAAATTAGCATGCAGTGTAAAGAGCAAGGATTACAGAATGACACCATCTCTTGGTATTTTTAAGAAGCTGTCCTTGAACCTTGTAAATTGACATTGGGAGTTGACTTAAAATTGCCGTGTTTCTGTTAGAACTCTCCTTTTCATTGTGCCATTCTGAATTGAATTAGCATGTCTTCTGAGGAAACGATTCTGATAAAGAGAAAAAAGTGCTTAAGCAGACAGTTAGATGTTGGAACCTGAGCTCTAGATTTACCGTGGGATATTGACTGTGTTCTTTAGGATCAGTTAATCTGTTAACCTTTGTGGGCTTACTGAGCTTTATGATATTTAAAATGAAAAGAAGATTTTACTAAGCTACTTTCTAATTTTGCTGGAGGGAACGAATGCTGAAGAAAGATTTAGGATTCTCCACCCTTCTGCTGGAAAGCTACTCATTTCCATTTGCTTTTGTGTACTGAGCTTTTGGGTTTTATAAGTGTCCTTTTAATAATAAAGATGTTGACCTAGTTGACTGCAGACCTTTCAGGTCAGGAGTTTTAGTATTATTTTAGTATTATCCAGAGGTAATAGCTGAAAAGCATTTAGTTAGAGTTGAGTCTGGAGCTTTTCTTTGCATGTTAATTTTAGGAATGAGAAACCACACAATTTAAAATGTCATCTGCTCAGGTAAAACATTGACCATTTAGAAAGAATGAAATATTGGAAAATACTTCTTTAGGAAAATTGGGGGGGGGTGGAAAATTGTTGCTGCCTTGTGTTTTTTAAACATTTTTGGCCTACTATTATGAATGTCAAATGTTCTAGAAGATAGTTACATGGTACTCATTAATCCATTGTCTTCATTGTTAAAAAGTTTAAATTTCAATCTTGTCTTTGGTGCTAAGCCTATATCCTGTGAATAAGATTGTAATACTATTATCAGAGAACAAAAATGACAGCTGCACTAGCTACCTCTTCATTGAAACATTGAGATGTTACAGATGACTAAAATGCATGATGAGAGATGTGATTTTTTAACTGAAAAGTAACTATTCACAGTATAAAAGAAGTGCTTTGTGTTAAACTGGCTTAAGGAATAATGTAATAATGTTGAGTAGCCCAACTCTTCCTCATCCAAATTAGACTTTTGAGTACCCAGGAGTTACTAGCCTTCTCACTCTCAGTTCTCTTGAGCCCTTATCACCTTTATGTCAAGGTCAAATGATGCCTGCTGGTCATACGCCACACCTTTCCATTCCATATTCAAGAGCTATACTTTGCTCCTTCACTTTTTGACATTTGGCTTCATACAAGGAAGCTGAGAAGCTTTTAAATGTACCTAACCCATTAATTTGCTTTTAAGTAGCTGCCCTTTTGAATCCATGGATTGCCCGATAATCACTTCTTTTGGAAGTTATTAGTTTGTAACTTGGAGTAAATATTTGTGAATACGTGTAAAATGTATGTGCTTTCCTTCTTGACTTTCTTCATTTTTATTTATTTCAGAATGTATTTAAGTTGTACCTAAAGTGTAAGTGAGGTTTGCTTGGAGTCTGTTGATGTTTAGTAAGGAGTTTTACTGTCAAAAATTCTCTAAACAGAAAATAAGAATTGAAGACAAGTGTTATAAATTGAATTTTTAAAAATCAGTTGTTGAGTTTAACTGAAGTTTTTCTGAGGTTATATGAATACTTTCATAGTTTCCAATGAATGCATAGTTAAAAAGGCTTTTGTTAGTTTTTCTTCCCAATACAATCTTAGATGGTTCTTAATTCTGTAGAAGTAGGATTAACATGGACTAATGATTGTTTTAATGGGATTTTGTTAAACTGAGGTGAAATTTACTTACAAGGAAATACAGTTTTTTTATTTTTTTTTAAGATTTATTTGATTAAAGAAGAGAGAGAGGCAGAGGCAGAAGACAGTGATTTTCTGTCTGCTGGTTCACTCCCTCAGTGACTGCAACTGCTGGAACTGGGCCCATCCAAAACCAAGAGTTTCTTCCGTGTCTCCCACATGGGTGGCAGAGGCCCTTGGGCCATCTTCTGCTGCTTTCCCAGGCACTTAGCAGGGAGCTGGATTGGAAGTGGAGCACCTGGAACTGAACCACCAGTCATAGGATGCCAGCATAATAGTGGGTAGCTTAAGACACTGCGTCAGAACACTGGGTCCCTACATTTTCTTTTTACACACACACACACACACACACACATATACTGCTAATCGCTGGTAAGCTACATTATGTGACACCATAAGCTTCTTTTAGTCTTTTGGATTATAGTTTCATGCTTTCTTTTGGGTTGACATTGACTTGATTATATGTAGAATAATAGGTTAGTAGTCTGTTTTACTGTTAGGTACTGTTAGGTTAGATTTTTCTGACAAAACAACCAGGTGGTAGTGGTGAACACTCTGTGGTTATTGATATTTTTGCTTTATTCTTTTTTTTAAGATTTATTTATTTATTTGAAAGTCAGAGTTACACAAATAAGGAGAGAGAGAGAGAGAGGTCTTCCATCATCTGCTGGTCCACTCCCCA